TTTAATACAGAACACTTTTTGAAAATGAAATAGTATTGACCTGATTATATAACATTCCAGAAAGTTAATGAAGAAAACAATATTGTTATGCCTCGTACCACGATAAATCATTCGTTCTACAACTATGGCGGAACAGCTGCACTTCACCAGAAACTCTGAATGAAGATAGTTGATGCGTACAAAGAAGGTGATGGATATACAACACTTTCAAAAGCATTTAAATGTTCCCAGATTAACAATTCGTAGAATTATCAAGAAGTACAATGGGGCTCATTGCATTGTGAATTAATTAAGGACTGTCAGGAAATGGTTAATTTCTGAGAGAATGGAAACTTTTAGAGATGTCTCGAAGAATCTCTTAACGACTAAGAACATTGTCAATGATGTAAATCATCAGGGTTGAATGTATCGACAAGGACCATAACTAGATGCTTTCATCGAGCAGGACTTGGAGCTTGTCGCCCCAGGAAAAATCCCTTGCTTAAGGCTAAACACGTAAAATGCAGATTAGTTTATGCTGGAAGCCATATAGAACATGGGAGTAAATAATGGAAATGCGAGATTTTGCAAGTCCTTGCTGAATTTACCAAATAGTTGATTCCGTATTTACTTTGGAATAATTTGTGAAATTTTTAGAAGTTTCGATCTATTGTATTCATACGTATAGATTTTTCTAAAAATTGGTACAGTCCAAAATTATTGCCGACTTCCCGCCACTTTATGGAAATTATGAAATAATATTCCTCTATGGCAATTGTAATGTTCTTTTTCATAGTTTGACATTTAATACAAAACAATCTTTGAAAATTAAATAGTATTGACCTGATTCTATAACATTCTAAATGGTAATGAAGAAAACAATATTTGAGTGCCACTATAACTCATTTGTTCTGCAACCATGCCGAAGACGGCTGAACTTGACAAGGACCTCTGAATGAAGACAGTTGATGCGTACAAAGAAGGTGATGAATATACAACACTTTCAAAAGTATTTCAAAAGTATTTAAATGTTCCAAGATCAACAATTCGTAGCATTATCAAGAATTACACTTGGACTCATTGTGTTGTGAATCAATTAAGGACTAGCAGAAAACGGTTAATTTCTGAGAGATTGGAAAGGAAAACTATTAGCAATGTCTCGAAGAATCCTCGCTTAACGACAAAGGACGTTGTGAATGATTTTATGGTCAGATGAAACAAAACTAGAATTATTTGGTTACATCAACTCTCTTTATGTATAGAGGAAAGTGAATGAAACTAATATAGCAAAAAAAAAAGAAAAAACTAAAAAAAAACAAGCCCTCCCCACAATTAAATGGGGTGTGGCATTCATTATGCTCTGGGGATGTTTTGCTGCTTCTATACAAGGAGAACTGCCGAGAGTATCACAGATAAAAAGGAATATTTGACTTTTCTTAAAAATAATATAAAACAGAGTGAACGAAAGCTGTCTTCGGGGCGTCACAGTAAGTCCCATGACAATGATCCCGAAACACAAGGCACAAACAGTTGCAAAATACTTAGATGACAGCAGAATCAAGGTTTTGGCGTACCCCGGACAAATTCCTGGCCCAAACCCCACTGAAGATTTATGGGAATATTTGAAGAAAAAAAAATAAGAGAAAGAAGTCCTTCGAATTTGGAGGAACTAGAAGTTATTGCCCAGGAAGTATAGAGCAAAACACACGGTACGAATTTTTACTAGATGCTTTCATCGAGCAGGACTTCGAACTTTTCGTTCAAGAAAAACTCTTAGGCTAAACACCTAAAATGCAGATTAGCTTATTCTAGAAGCTATCTAGAACACGGGAGTAAATATTAGTTATTGCCACCCTTATGGAAATTATAGAATAATATTTCTCTATTGCAATTGTAATGTTTTTTTTTAGTTTTTTTAAAATTTGATATTTAATACAAAAACATCCTTTGAAAATGAAATAGTATTGACCTGATTGACAGTTGATGCGTACAAAGAAGGTGATGGATATACAACACTTTCAAAGTATTTAAATGTTCCTAGATCGAAAATTCGTAGCATTATCAATAAGTACAATGAGACTCATTGTGTTGGGAATCAATTAAGAACTGACAGAAAACAGTTAATTTCTGTGAAAATGGAAACGAAAATTGCTAGCGATGTCTCGAAGAATCCTCGCTTAACGACAAAGGACATTGTCAATATTGTAAAAACATCAGTGTTGAATGTATCGATGAAGACAGTCACTAAATGCTTTCATCGATTAAGACTTCGAACTTTTCGTTCAAGAAAACACTCTTGTTTAAGGCTAAACACCTAAAATGCAGATTAGCTTATGTTAGAAGCTATCTAGAAAATGGGAGTAAATATTAGAACTCTGTTTTATGGTCAGATAAAACCAAACTAGAATTATTTGGTTACATGAACTCTAGTTATTTATGGAGGAAATTGAATGAAGCTCACCAACCCAAAAATACTCTCCCTACAATTAAACACGATGGTGGGATCATTCTGCCCCGGGCA